AGTGTGTGAATTTCATTTCTTCACCCTGAATGGTTCTCAGTAAAATTTTTCCTATTAAATTTTGCTTGATGTCAGTTGTTTTAATCTTCTGTAAACATTTATAGAATTTTTGTATGAAGATTCATTCAAATGTTTAGTCAACAGATGTTTGTATTTTTGTTTGTTTGTTTTTGTTTTACATCAGTATATGATACAGTATTAAGTTTATCCATATAAAAGTATATACATTAATTATTAACTTTATTTTGATTGTGTTTAGAACTACTTTGATAAATTAAAGCTTTCTTTTAGTAATCAGTATTTTCTCAGTATATAAAGGTATAAGAAAATAACTAAGCAGAATTTGCTAATGAATGTAAAATTTTTAAGATTGTAGATGTCTAGTGTCAAAGCAGAAGACAACTTTATAAAAAATAAACTGTACGAATCATAGCCAACATGACAACACTTTGACGAAAAGCAAACTGCTGGTGAATCTCTCTCTCCATATGGTCTGTAATATCTCGTAGGGGAGAAAAAAAGTGCGACTCAATTTTACAAAATGAAAACTTTGCACATTGTTTCCATAGCAACAAAATGGAGTATCGCCTTGGTGAAGGAAACTGAACAGTACAACAAATGTAACTGAAATTATACAATAGTAATTTTGGTGGTTGTAGTTACAAAAATAAAACACGTGATCAAGTATGCTGCATAATAAAAATATTGAATAAACAGAATATAGTATATGTTATATGTAGTAGGTGGTAGATGAATGTTGACGGAATTTGGTATATCGTCCCAATTTTGTCACAATTTAAGGAATAGTTGACGTGGTGTATTTCAAAGCATCTGTCTCCTGGAAGAACAGTTTAATTCTTACTGTGCACAGATATGATAAAAGATTTGTCATGTTGCTTAATGACAAGATGAGTACCTGAGTATAGTTTTTGAAGAGACTTGACAGATAATCATGAAAGCTAATCAAATGCTCATGTTATAAAGCAGCTCGAATATCAGAATCTGTCACACAGAAGCTCTTTTACAAGAGCGGTGTGATGTTCAACTGCTGCACAGCATACCTGGGATCGAATCTCTAGGTCATTATCATCTTAAATAGCTTGTAAAACTTGTGCACTGCTGCACTTCTCAATGGTGCTAATGGATGGTGACATGAGCAAACACCTATATACCAAGCAGCACCAATCAAGCATACCACCACGTGATAACCACACTACTAAAATATTAACATAATGTTAGTATCAAATTTCAAGTAGTTGAATAACTTGAATCATGCTTAAGTGATTAGTTATTGAATTTAAATCAATTTCGAGTTTTTTTCTTTTTTTTAAACTGTGCTGCAGAGCTGTATGAAAACTTCCTTGAAACTCCCAGTTTTTGGTGTGAGAAACTGCTGGTTTTTCATATTTCAAATTTGTCTTCTATAAAAATGTATTACTGTTTGTTGTTTGTAAATGTATTACTGTTTGTAAAATGTAGTACTGTTTACATTGAATAAATTATGAAATTTAGCCACAGCTTCTCAGCTGAATGTGAATGTATCTTGACTGGATATGTCACCATTCACGAAAGAGTTAAACTTTTGTTACAGATGAGCTGAACTCTTGTTTCATCTGTTATATACTGTAGATGTTTATCTGAGTTACAAAAATTATAGTATTTAAATTTATGCCCTCAAGAGAATGGATTCTAGCTCATTTATAGAATTTCTCTCAATGAAAAAAATTTAAGCATTCATTGGACATTCTAGGGGTTAGATTAGATAACAAAAAAGAATTAGCATTTGTACAGATTTTGAAGTTATTGAATTTAATTATATTAATTTAATTATTGAATTATTATATTAATAATAAAGCTAACTAAAATAATTTCCAGCAAAGTATCGAATAAATAAGAAATCATGAAATATTCGAGGTTTTGAAAAAATTCTGAGTTGGCTGTTTCCGAAAAGTGTAGTATTTTAAGCAAAGTAGACTAACTTTTCCGTCATCCTGTATATTTGCCAGATTTGTTCTGAAGTGACTTCATTTTGTTTCAAAAAACTGGACTGCCATTAATGTGGTGCACATTGCAGTAAAGATGGTAATTTGAAAGTAACTGCTTAAGAATGGTTTGAAAGTTCTGAGAAAAAATATTTTTTTCCTTCTGCTGGATGGATGAATACTTAATGGAGCACTGTGCTAAGTACATTGAAAGGAAGGAAAATTTTGTAGAAAATTGAGAAAGTTAAATATTGTCCTTGTACATGAGTGTTAGGCTTAAAGCTTATTGGATGTCCCTTCATACTATTTAAATAGGAGCCATTTTTTTCAGAAAAGTTGTATGGAAAATGTCACTTATTGACACTCATATTTGTTTGTTGTACTATAATTAACCAACGTGCAGTTATATGTAATGCCTCTTCCTACAGTATCCTTAATGTGATGGGTGGGATTTAGATTGGCTGCATATGTTTTGCTATTGTCTATGACCAACAGTTGCAAAAATAAATGCTGAGTAAGGACTTCTGTGGATAAGGTTTACGTCAAATGAGTGAAATTATGATCAGTATGACCAGTTTGAAGAATCTTTATGCTGAATTTAATTGATGTTCCTGTACTTAAATGTATTGTTATTGAATTTATATTTTTATTAATATATATATATATAAAAGTTTAATATTTTGTAATAGAAATTTGTATAAAATTTTTAATGATATGTAAACTTATCATGGGCAAAATTTAGTCACCCTTCATGGGCAGAAGCACAAATGTATTGTTGTTACAAATGGAACAGCAGGCATGTCCTGTGGACATCACATGGGAAATTTTATCTGTGAGATTACAAAGTCATGCTCAGGAAGTGTTGTTTTATGTGGCTATTTTCCATTAAGATGTGGACATACAAACACGTGATAGAATGCCAAAAAAGATGATTGTGTTTGGCTGTGCCGATCACAGTGAGTCAAGCAGTCAAATTTATTGGTATTTAGAATTGAGTATACCAATGGTTGAATGTAGTGTACCATTTTAAATATGTGCACAGTGTAAAGCTGGCAGTGGATCTGTGATGTTTCAGGAGAGTTTTTGGTAAAAATATATTTCAGGGTACCCCTTGGTTAAAATTGGCTATTTTTTTATGCCATTCCTGCTTACATCCAATGCCCTCCTCAGTAAAATGACATCCAAATCATAATGCAATATAACATAATTAAAATAAATATATAATCTAAAAAAATCTGAAATGTTTCCGATCCAAAGGGGCATTTTGTTAACATTTTGTGTGTAACCTTTATTTATTAAATATCATGTTCTTTGCACTTAAACCATAAAATTCAGTTCAAGAGCAATATAATTTAAAATTGAGCATATCTTTAGAATTTCCAGTACACAGTCTCGCACGCTGGAGATGATTTTTTTTTTTTTGTACAGCATTGCCATTGCTCGCTCTGAAATCCTCAAGTTTCTTAATAAAAAATTCGTTAAAGTTTTACAAAATATGAAATCGATAATAAAACAAATTCCAAATTTCAAATTTGGACTTCCAGGTGCCCCTATTTGCAGTAGGATTACATCATTAAAAATTTGACCGTTGGTTTATCACAGTGGGAGAAACATACATACATTTATGCAGATTCTTCATTATTTAATTTCTTCAAATATAATATAGGGCAATAATATTTGGTGGCAACAGTTTGAAAAGTGAAACGGACGTTCAGAGTGATTCGGCGGAAAATCGCAAAACGAAAACAATTTGATGGCTCTAGGTATATATAGGTCTTGAAATATATGTTCTCTAATCTCTGCGTTCAGAAAAGGAAATATTGACTTACTTTATTTAAAAATTCCTGTTTCTCTAATGTGTGACACACAGAATTCCTTAACAACATCCAAAAACTATTTTAAATTATCTAAACTAGAATCTGTATACTATTGTCACCACATTAATTTACAAAAGTAGGAATGAAAAATATCCTCCGGTCTCTCGGTAGCATTTCTTTCAAAAATCCCTTTTTATTACACCCCACATACCTTCCATAGTGTTGGTATGAGCTCCAGTTTCGAAATCCTTAAATCTCGCTGCATAATTTACTGAGAGGCGAACGAAGCCATTTAAATCTTCATTTATACACTAGTCAATCAATGTTTTCTTTCCCAAGCATTCCAAAGTGTACAGAAACTTCAGGTTAATCGTACCACCAGTATGCATTTTATGGTGTGAAGCTCAAAATAAGCGATGTAGTTTCTAACCAACATCCATACCTAAGTAAGCCCTTACAAATATTTTCCTATCAGTCAAAATCACTGCAATTACATATTACAACCAATCACATCATAGCAGGATTTCCATAACATTCAGCTACTCGGGTTACAATGAAATGATAATGATGATTGTAATGAAACAACAACTTAGTGATAATTCAAGGGGTACCCTAAAATATAGACTGAGTTTTTTTTTTTAGCTACGATGTAGGCCCACTTGATGGATTTGCATGCATTAGCAAGTTTATTTAAGCATTCTTAAAGATCAAGTGTTGCCCATCAGTCAACATCTTAATGTCTTAAAGATCAAGTGTTGCCCATCAGTCAACATCTTAATGAAGGTTATGCTGTCGACACTCCGTGCAGTACTGTACTCAATGCGGTCGACACTCCGTGCCCTACTCTACTCAATGCGGTCGACACTCAGTGCCTCCATGCCATGCTTCTGGCATCAGTAGAGTTCACAGGGCATGATGGACTGGCATGATGAACACTCACAGATCCTCTGTCATTTGTGCTAAATCATCTGATCTTAATCCTATTGTAGAACCTTAGATGCCTTTCCTAACTGAATCCAGGTGGTTATTAGGCCAGAGTCAGACAGTATTAATGCAATTCCTCTAGTAGTTAACTAATTTTAGGCCTTGTGAATTTATGTACATATATATAAATGAAGCAGATGATTGAAGCATTTAAAAGTATTAATGATTTATATTTTGACCTCATTTAAAATGTTTTTCTTTTATTCTTCCATTTTAGTGAATTGAAATGTGTAACCAGCTGCAGAAATGACTGTTTCAAATCAGTTAGTTGTACCCATTACTTTATGGGGCAACAGAGCTCCAACTCACTGTATTTCAGCAGTTTACTTAACACGTGATCACAAAACAATTGTAACAGGATGCAATGATGGGCGAATTTGTGTTTGGGATGTTTCAGATAATTTAAAGGTAAACTTGTTTTCGTCAGTAGTTGTAAATTTGGAAAAAAAAAAAAAAAAAAAAAAAAAAAAAAAAAAAAACTCTGCCATTTTATTAGTTTGTGATATTTATATGTTAATTAAATTTCATTCTTAATCTATTAGTTGACATAAATCAGGTTTATCTTAACTTATTTTGCTTATGTTTAAAATCTGTCCAATACTTCTCTTTCACCTTCTTCTACCATACTTTGTAAATGAGACAAGTTTTAAATAGAATAAGAATCTAAATTTAAAAAATAAGGATTTGCATTGTGAGTATTTTAAGGTAACACTTGTGGCTGTACCCAAAGCACATGGCGTTATCTGAGCCAGTGAGTTGTCTTTTTGCTGTACCGTATTAGGTAGAAAGCCACTGAGCCTGATACTAGGATAGAATTTAACTTGTGAATTACACATGATCTGAATTTATGTATTGTATGTTTTCCTCACAAGAAGTGGAAATCATTTTGTTTTAAGTTTGTTTTGTATTTCAAGTTGAAACCTAAATGATTATAACTGTAATTGGGTGGGTAATGAATACACATATTTCTATGTAGCATATTCATATAAGAACTTCTAACAGTTTTACTTCTAGAAATGTCATTCTCAATAGACCTTTATACCTGCCATGTTTTCCTTTAAAAAAGTTATTCTAAATATCTATAGCCATACTGGTGTAAATATAGAAAATTTTATTGGCATAGGTATAGAAAATTCTAATTGCCAGTAATTGATGTTGAGATTACTTTTATTTTATTTCTTCAACAGATAGCAAGCAGTACAAACATCTCAAAACAAAGGATTAAATTTTGTAGATATAAAATTTAATTATTTCGCTGTAACAATTTTTTATTGTTACTAGCATGTTTTATTAAATATCACTCTGTACTCATTATTTTTAGTTGTCTGCATTTTGCAATACACACAAGTACTTATTTAGAATTATGTACAATTTTCATTTAATTTCAAATTAAGTAAGGTAAAATATGAGGAATTGACCGGAAAGCTGTAATCAAGCAGATCGATTTAGCACCAATTATGAATAAGCAGATTATAACAACACATGCATAACATCTTGCTTTCATCTGTTCTAATCCTGACTCATTCTCAATATGCCGTGTTTCGTTTTTATAGAGAACAATGTGTTTTTTCTTACATTAAAAAAATCATTAAAATTTGGAACCTGCCTTCTATAGAGCATTGGTGGAGTTTTCAAACTTATGGAATCGTACCATAAAAAAAAAGTGGTTATTAATGGAATGATATAGCCAGCTGAATATGACCAGCAAAATGTTAAAATACTGGAATGGTTACCTGTAGGAAGTTTATACTCAGTGCCTTCTAAGCAGAGCTTCTGGTAAAATCAGAGGGCTTAACAGAATAGTAGAAATTGATAAAAGCCTCTTTACAGAGTGGGTCAAATACTGACTGTTAATTAAAGAGGCACCAGTACTTTCAGAATTCGGAAAGAATGATTGGTGCAACTTTAGTGGGATCTCTACCAACTTTCGTGGTTCGATGGTAGTTAACTTTCATGGTGGACAGGATAATATAAAGCAACATAGCAATTGCCGACATCCTGCAGAGAAGGAAGTTATAAGGAAACAAAAATGAATCTTGTAATACTCCTTAGTTACTTACTTGAATTGTAAGTTTTTAAAGTAAATTCTACAGTGCATTTACAAATTATTGTTAACGTTGCTTTAAAATAAGCATTATTGATGAAAATAATGTATTAAATTAAGGAGATCACCACTTATTCCTAAAATAAAGTATTAAGTAAAAATAATTGAAATTATAAATATTTAGATGTATTTATGGAATACAGTGGTGGTTTACACAATGAATGTAATTTGTTTCATTGTGGTATTTCTCATAGATTGTTGTAGAAATAATTTTATTAGATTCCCAGGCCCTGTCCAAAGTTGCAAAGGATAACAGATTTCAAGGAATATTAAATGCATTTGCAATGTTCATTGTACTTCTGTATCTACTTCATTATATTCGGTTTAATGCAAGTGAATAAAGTATTGATTGAACAAAATAGGTGCATTTGAATGGTAAAAGTGCATACAAGCAGTAAAAAAGATATATTTGGGTAGAATATGATTAAAAAAATCTTGTAATTAAAAACTTTTCATGTAATGAATTGCTTTCACTTGGAGTTTTAATTAAATGCAGCTATCAGCTTATATTATTATTCTATCTTTTAGGAAGTATACAAAAACTGTAGTGTTTGATTTTTAATTGTGAACATAATTACTTTAAATTTAATGCATTCTTAACTTAATAAGTATATCATTTTATATTAATGGAAAAGTTTATGTGTAATAAAGGAAACTTAGTTTAGTCACAAAGTGATTAAACATTTTCATAAAATGATTAAGTGTTGTTTACTTATTCATTGTGTTGAATTAAGTGTCTACTTTTTAATTTACCTTCAGTACAATACTTTTCTGTAGTGTTCTTAATTCTATTTTGTTATTAAAATGTTTCAGATTGTTCCTCGTTGCTTATTGTTTGGACACACTGCGCCTGTTCTATGCCTAACATATGGAAGCATTGCTACGGATAGCACGCTTTTGGTTAGCTCATCTGAAGCTGGGTAATAAATTTTTATTAGCCTAATTACTATGTTTATGAGCATTTCTAGTTACTTCATGTATTTGCATAACGAATTACTTATAAACTTGTACATGGAGTTTTTGTGTTGAGGGGTTTTCAGGTTTCAGGGAAGTCTTTCTTTTCTTGTGATGTAAAATATTGTATTATTTAAGATTCCTATAGAACTCTATATATACTATTATCAAAAAATGGACCCAAATTGATTACGTAAGGTGAAACGTGGTGTTTTTAAGTAATATATTATTATATATCTTCATTTATAAAACATAACGTTTTCATCACATAAACTTCTAAAGTTATAGAAATTTATTTTTAACCTTTAAAGTTCTCTTCCTTTGCATATGGCACCAAAGATTTGTTTTCATACATTTAATTCATTAAAATGTGTTGCATTACGTATGCTTTGTATGTATAAAGGGAAAATGAAGATCCAGATGATTCAGCTGAATCACTTTGAATGCTGCGTAGATTTTGATACTGAAGGCTGGAAATAATCAAATCTGGATATTAATTCAGCAGAAAGTGAATATTATTGTTACTGATAAATTCTAATGCTGTTAGTAAATTTTATAAACTAAGGATACAAGGTGTCTGGGAAAGAAGTGATGAAAAAGAAAGATGCATATGACAAAAGTCAGTCTGTTTATTGCATTGGGACTTATATAGCTGGACATTTATAACTCAGGTTGTGTCTAGGCAATACACTCATTCCCCACGTTTTGAAAGCATTGCTAGTGTGAGCAGTTCTGTTGTCCTTGTAGTGTCGCTTTGGTTACATCGATTGTGTCATCATCAAGTTTTTGATCATGTTAAAAAGGGAGTAACGACATGAAGTCACTGTGAAACAATGGTCAGTTTTTTTGTGAGATTCGATATGAAAAATGTAAATAAATATTATAAATAAGAATAAACAAAGTATTAATTTTATAAATAAGTATAAATACATTACAAAGTCCGAGATCTGGACTCCAATATCCAGACTAATTTAAAATTCGTACCTCAAAATCACCAACAATATTTTTTTTGTATGCTTTACGTATGTGTGTTTGATTTTTTCCTCCTAATAAAACATGTGGAAGAGTCTCAATTAAAATACCTTATTATTGAAGAAACAATGATGTTATCTTAAATTTGCGTGGTCAATAATTTGGCCCTGTAGCTGCACATCTGCTTCGCATACATCTGAAACTGAAACATTTTACAAAGAGACAGTTGATTTTACAATTACTAATATTTTATATCCCTGATGCAATCTTCCGAATAATTATTTGTTATATTTTGCTTTCATCACTGCTTAATGAAAAAATGTTTTGGATTTAGAGAAAGCACTGGGATCCAAAATTTAGGGGCGGCAAAAATTTAGAACTTAGGGAAGTGCTTGGTAGCAGAATTTAGAACCCGATTGCATTATAGGCGGTAAGATATTTAACGGTGGCAAATAGCCTTAAGTATATGTAGGAATTTGTTTATTCAGGACTCAGATAAGCATGTGCAAGAAATAGACATAAGTATAATAAGTAATTAAACTAATACTATTCAGGCTTAATTGTCTCTGTGCACCATAGAAGCAAAACAAAATTTAGCAGAACAATTTGTATTTCGTCGCCAGTCTCATGATACATAGCCAATAATGCATAGCGGATGCTATTAAGCTTAGCTACATGTATGCTTTAATGATTTTAAGGAATTTCAGTCAATACAGCAGATTGCACTATTCCCAAACTTTCTTATTTGATCCAGCTTATTATTTTTTGCAGGCTGTTTTTCTTACAGCAAGTTTATGAAAATCAAAGTTTGAACTTTCGATTATGTCGAAAAGAGTTTCTAAAAGCATGTTTCGACGTCCATTAAATAAAAAGTGAAATTGCTGCAAAAAATTGTTAAAAGTACACCTGTCAAGTGAAAAGGATGGATATGAAAACTGGATAAAGGTGTATCTGTCTCTTAAATCATGACTGAATGGGTCAGACAGCATCACAGCGAGGGCAAGCCATTGACACGGATCCAATGCTAATTGCTCAAGCTAAAATATTTCACTAAGAAACGAACTTAAAAACTGAGTGCACATATTTGACAGGTTGGTTAACCAAATTTAAAAATCACCATGGTATAAGGCAATTAAGAATTTCAGGTGAAAAACCTTCATATGATACTGAAGCTGCTGAACTATTTGCAGATGAATTCATTGAACTTGTTAACAGTGAAAAGTTATCTCTAGAACATATTTACATCCAACTAGTGTCAAAGATTCCAAAGCAAGACTAACAACTTTAGTATGCGTAAATGCTGCAGGAACCCACAAGTGTAAATTTTTTGTAATCAGAAAAAATACACTACCTCAAGCATTTAAATGAGTAAAGATTTTCCCTGTTGTATGTCATGCAAATAAAAGAGCACACATACACAAATGTTAATGAATGGTTGGTTTGAAAATCATTTCCTACCTGAGGCTCAGCACAATTCGTTTGGTTTACCTGATAGTGCAAAAATTGTTCTGACTATGGATATCAGAATACTGAGCATGCTGAAATGCAAATATAAAGAATTTTTTAAAGCCATGTTAAATTTCTTGAATAATGTCAAGACTCATCAAGAATTTTTGAAATATTTTCACATAAAATCTTCTGTGTAGAGCATCACAGATTGTAGGAGGATGTGCTTTGTGATATTGTGGGAAATAATGCTTGGCGTAATTTATGGCCATCTACCATAAATAATGCTTGGCATAATGTATGGCCGTCTACCATATTTCATGGTGAGGATGATGACTAGATAACTGTAAATATGAAGGTTTTTTGGATATCAAAAACCAAAGTTGAAATTTTCATATTAATGGATTTTGTAAAGAAATGTGGAGAATTCTAATAAATGAAAATGATAGAACAGAAGAATTTCATTGCGATGATAATGCCCCAATCATCAATCAATTACTGGAGGGCTAAATCTGTTGTATGATTCTAGATCTAGAAAATACTGCTACTGATAGTGAAGAAAGTGACAGGTTATTGAAAATGAAAAACTTCCTATTGGTAAGTTAGTCGGAATTCTCGACATAGCAATTACAGGACTTGAACAATGGAGCTTTGTAACTGAAAAAGAAATTATGTCTGTCTACAGAATTAAAGAGAAAATATTAGTACAAAAATGCAAATTAAGCAACTTGAAATAAGTAAATAAATAAACAAATAAATATTAAACTTTTTATGTAAGTTTTGTTACCCCCTTTAGATCAGGCTTTCTTAAACTGTGGAGGTTCACAGGACCTGCAGCAGGGGGTGGCCAAAAATTTTAGCAGTTTTAATATTTCTTTATCTTATAATAATAATTTTACAATTACCAAATATTTTTACACAATGTATCTGAAAATAGATAAAGATAAGATAATACAAAGAATAAAACGAAAAACGTTTTGACTGTTCTTTTTATAATATAATCGTTCATCTTCCTTGCTTTGCACTAAGTGACGAAATGACAGCATCATTGCTGTCATTTTTTCACTTACTTATTTAAAATTTTCACATTGTTCTATGTCTTAAAATTAGAAATTAAAGTTAATGACCTAAAACTGCAATAGTATAATACAATACAAGTGAAAAAATTGACAGTTTCACTCACGCATGTGTCGGATTTGCACAATGCTTATGGGGTCCCACAAAATGTTTGTACATATTATGGGGTCCTGGGGGTCGCAAAAAAAATTTTAATGATAGGGGGTCACGACTGAGAAAAGTTTAAAAAACCCTGCTTTGAGATCATAAATGCTTCATTATTTCATAAATGACGATTTCATGTTTCTAATTTTATGAGCTTAATTTCTTCATGCCATCTTACTAGTTTTAAACTAATCATCTAATATCCGAAAAAAAATCCCAAATTCGGAAACAGCGAAGTCCTGACGAGTCCGGATCTAGGGCTTCGTACTGTATTAATTTTAGCGGAATCGGAGAAGTGTCATTAGCATATCCCTACGTTTAAGGCTCTTCAGTCCTATTGTCTGCATTATGTGAGCATGCAAATCTGCAACATTGACCACAGGTGTTTAATAAACTTTACCAGATCTTATAGATTGAAATGTATAGAAGTTAAAGAAATGTAATGGGGTCTAGTCGCCACAGAAATCTAAAGGGGTTAAGTCTGCTCTCTGCCAGTCTTCCCAGTGAATAAAACTTTGAGTTCTTTCAATATATGTAAACCACTCTGCAATAAACACATTGATTTCAGGTATGTATGTCATTCTTTTCCATTACTTCTTTCCCAGACACCCTGTGTTTGTTAATTTAGTGTTTTGTTTCATTTACTCATTTTCTTCAAATAGTAATAAAAAAAATGTCCCCTTTGTTCATGGTACTGAAAATATGTACATTGTAGGTGGAAAAATTGCAACATTTTCATTAAATCATATAATTTTTTAAAAGTTCATGTGATGTCAAAAAATGAAGGACTAACAAAATTTATGCAACAGAAGTTTTTCAAATATGTTGTTGCATAAATAGAGTATTGTTACATGAATTAAGAACAGTATCAAAAGAAAGGTTTTTCTTAGTTTGTGCATGAGAATACTGTTAGCAAATATTTGTGCTTGCATACAAGTAGTAGTTCATAGACTACAACTTATGTGCAAGCACAAATATTTGCTAGCAATATTCTTAGTTAAAACTTTCACCTTTCAGTTACAAAGCAGTTAAAACTTTCACCTTTTTTCTGATTATTAGATGAAAACAGTATCTTATTATATTTACTTTCTTTTGCTTGACCAAGCATTTTAAACTTATTCTAAATTACTTAAAAATCACTGCATTTTAAAAGAAGGTTTTATGATTAATATAAGCCATTAATAAGTAATTCTGCCTAGCTTAAAGTGCTTAAAAATGAAATCATTAAGTAAGTAGCAGTTTTTTTTTTTTTTTCCGGTTTTGCAGCTGAAGATGGTGGTTCGGTAAAACCATCGAAACTAGTCCTGTGAAAATTTTGTAAATATAACACTGATTTTTGTTGTTTGACTTCTGAATTAGCAGCTATATCTTTTAACCTTTTAAATTTCTGTTTTGTATTTTTAAATATATATGGTTATTAAGAAGAAATGAAAGTAATTTTTCATATTTCAGAATACAGTACAAAGTCCGTAATCCGGAATGATCTATAATCCGGATGTCAAAGCCACAAACTTACGCATGTGCGTAAAGCCAGTAAAGCGTTTACCCATGCGTGCTTCCGATAGTGAAGAAAGTAACAGAGAACGTTATTGAAAACGAACAAATTTCGATTAACAAGTTAGTCGGTATTCTCGACACAGCAATTACAGGACTTGAAGAGTGGAACTTTGTAACTGAACAAGAAATTATGTATGTTTATAGAATTAAAGAGAAAGTATTCGCACAAAAAACAAAGCAACTTAAACGACTTACATTGAAAGAAATGTTTACGAAAGTAAACAAATAAATATTAAACTTTTTTTTGTAAATTTTGATACCCTTTAGATCATAATTGCTCTTTATTTCATAAATTATGGTTTCATATTTTTAAATGTATAATTTCTGCATACCATCTTACCAGATTTAAATTGATGATCTATAATCCGGAAAAACCCCTAATCCGGAATCGCCGAAGTCCTAACGAGTCTGGATTATAGACTTTGTACTGTACTAGGCAACATAGTAGAATTTGCTATATTAATTTTTAGAAGGAAATTTTGTTTAATTCTAGTAATGTTCTGCAGTATAATTTTGTCTTTTAGCATATGGTAAATGCGAATTCTAACCCAAGAAAATAAGCTATGCACTAGCTATGCATTTGCAGTATTGAATTTTATAGTCCATTTATAATATTTCTGCTTTTGTATTTTTATTGTGAAAAATAAATTGATGTACGCTTTCTAATTTTATGGTCCATTTCCAATGTTTTTTCTTTTATTATGCTGCATTGTGACATAGATGCTAACTGTGGCATGCATGTTGCATGTAAATTTTGAAATGGTCATTAAGCCTGTTCCCAGGATGTAAAATTTGATGCTAAATAACTTCAGATATAATTGAGCTTTGAAAGTTTTTTCCTGATTTGTAAAGACTTCGAAATATTAATGTATAGCATTTTTTATTTAAGAAACTAAGCATTTTGTATTTTGGAAATTGTGAATTGCATTAATTGAAATAATTTAGTTTTATTATAAAATCTGATTTAGATTGTAGTTCATTAATAAAAAAGATCATAAAAATTATCTTGAATTAAATAGAAACGTAGAGGGACTGATAAAAAAGAACAACTCAAAATGCATAGATGAGAAATATGTTGCTGATTTTTCCTAGTGTATTGCAACTGTTTGTGTTGAGCTACCGGGACTAAATTTTAATATTGAGAGATTTAAGAACTGGGAGAGATATTGTTAATAATAATACAAAATAATGTATGATATTTATATGATTCATGTGTTCATACTAATAAACTGACATTTTATGTTACTGAAGTTTATTTTCTTGTTATCTGTGAAAATTGCTACAGTGTGACTTAGAGCTAGCTCTCAATCAATTTTTTAAAGATATTTGATTTGTGTTTCATATTTTTGTTTTTGATTTTTTCCTTTAGAGAAATGTCTTTATGGGATCTAACTGATGGGCGTTGCCTTGAAAGTGCCAAACTTCCTTATATTCACACATCTATTCATGTATGTATATAATTTTTATTAATTTTCAGTTGCCTTTTCTAATGTTTCAAAATGAATTTAATTTTTTGCTCAAATTGCATCATATCAACTTTGCTGTAAAATACCACAATTTCATTTGAAATAAGATAATTTCTAGCCTTTCAATTTTGATAAATTGGTGGAAAATACTATTGGCTGTTTTCTTTATTACCAAATAATATTGACTTAGCTAGTTCTTTTCAAATCAAAGCTGATTAGCAACTATGGTAGAATTTGATCATAATTCACTTTGTTCTTTGCTCTTTTTACACCATTGAATATTAAAAAATGTCATAAAAAACTTTTCAGTTTAGGTGTGCTATAAACGAATGTGTAGAACTTTTTTTCGTTTGCACGTTCTCTTTTATACCTATAAATTGGAAAATGAAGCTGGCTTTAAGCTAGGTAATAACCACCAGGTCCAATTTTCGATATGCATTTTGTCTGAAAAGGTGCTGAATATTACCTCTGGAGAAGGTAGATATTTAATGATGAAATAGTGTTTTACGTATTATAATGAAGGAGCTTGCAGTTGCATAGGCTGGGTCAGCAAACCATTATACCAATTTGTGAGTTCTAAAGAGACAGTTTGAAAAAGGAACAATCTTCTTTCTTATAGTCAGGAGACTAACAGCCTATCTTTGTGAAAGAAGCATGACATAATATGTAAGCTATTTAGGTTCACAGCAACTTTATATACATATCCTCTTTTTTGGATGTTTATCAACTAGCTATGGTAATGGGGAAGGCATATTGTGTAAGAATTTCATGAAATTCATTTTTCTGGCCATTTAGATAGGTCATCTAAACCAGCTCTGTTGTACACATCCAGAAATGTTTGAAATACTTTGTCTATATAACCTGTGCAAGAGAAGGATTAATTCATCTGCAAAATATTTTTTGTTTTTGTCTCAAAAGTAGAATAATATTGTACAAAATTTTTTTGCAAAAGAGCATAGGAAGCACGTAAAATTCCGTCATTGCTGTTGAAGATTTCGTTAGTGTATTGCATGCAGTGACGTTTTTTATTTTTATCCCTACAGAAATTTAAATGCACTTTAGATATGTGTTTAGCATATATTTAATATACAGAGCTGATGTAAACTGTGAAGATGATGATAAAAGGAAAAAACCCATTATATTTTGCACAAGTCTGTCTAATAGGTTTTAAATTTGTAAATGATACTTTAATAATTTCATCCTCACTAATATATGCACAATTATTAATTTTATTGTCATGTTTAAAAGTAATTTGATTGATAACATTTTTCTCTACTCAGGTTTTCAATCCTATAAACTAAAATAAAAAATTAAATTGAATCTAGTTGATAAAATGCTTTCTGATCAGGAATATATATTACAGGGGCTTTCTGATCATTGTTAAACCCTGTTAGTCATGAACTATATGCATGAAAGGCAACAATAATTTTGGAAATAAATTTTGAAAATCATTTGAATTTGGTGGCATGCTAAGAATTCTTAACTAAACTGTCTTAACAGTCACTAAATAACATTAAAAAAGCAAGAAACATCCATAACATTAAAAAAGCGAGAAACATCCATAACATTAAAAAAGCGAGAAACATCCATAATAAAACACTCTTTTCAAGAAATCTTCCCCCTGTCTGTTGTTTTCTCCCCATATGCACAGTTATCTGTTTTTATTTGGAAAAACAGAGTTACACATGCTGAACTCAGTGCAACTTCCACATTGAACATTTGAGACTTTTTGGCCAGGGTGCAGATAATCCCAAAATACCTTAATATATATTACATTAAAATCATAAAATTAGTTCAGCAATCTGAATTATACATTTGATCAAATTGGAAGAGGAGTAGGCCAAAGTAAAATTTAAAATAGGCAAAAAAGCATTAAGACATTTGTTATTTATGTATTAATGTAACCACTTTGGCTGCTTTTTTTTTAAAGATTCGGCGGATTTTTTTAGGTGAAAAGTAAGGTACTTATCTTGTGCAAGATGACGATTTTTACGACTTTTTTAAAAAACGGTTCACATACTATTGATATTCATCCTAATTTGGCAGTCATTATCAGTATGTCAAAAGAAAATGCATTTTAGAAATTTAAAATACAGATATTACTTATTAAATAAGGATTAATACATTAATTTTTTTTTTTTTTTTTTTTTTTTTTTCAAAATCCTTCTGAAAATTTTTATTCTGGTTTCTACCCAAATACATAGTGGTCTGTTAAAAAAAAAAAAAAAAAAAAAAAAAAAAAAAAAAAAAAAAAAAAAAAAAAAAAAAAAAAAAAAAAGGAAGAATTTTGCAACCTGAGCATCGTGCACCATCTGCTTACCAATTGCTTCATATTCTTGTTCCCTTCATTCTCTTTTTACCATTAGTCATTGGTGAGCTATAAATACATTCTTTTTAAAATAAGATGCGTTGTTTATATTATTGCTATACTTCCTCTTTTGGCATTTATTTTACAGGTAATAGTAGTTTTCTTTTCATCCTATGTTTTTCATGCATTACAGAAGTGTTAGACTACAAACTCTTAGTAGTTTAATCCTAGGCAGGAAGAAGGCAAAGGCTGTTAGTTGAGAGTTTTTTTTAGACTGTTCAAATTGGTTCATTGATTTTAGCCTTTGTTCACTGGGGAAATGTGATTTGTAATATTTAGCTTATAGGGTTCATTTTCAGTATAATCTTTTAGATCTTGAACTGTTTTTAGCTAACCATATTCATTTACAAAAATATTTATAACGTGAAAACAGTAAAGAAACTTGCCAAGTGAAACTTAAAATTAGTAACACAACAACCTGGAGTTTGGTGTAGATTTATGTCAAGATCTCACACATAGAGATCTTGACGTAAATCTATGCTAAACTCAAGGTAGTTGTGTTACTAATTTTAAATTATAACGTGGTGTAGTAAATGCTCTGGTTTATTTCAACTGGAGATCGAGGAGAAAATTATGACTCTGTAACACATAAAAATATTATTATTCCCTGAATATCCATCACAGTGTATATAGTTAAATTTTAACAAACACGTATAAAAGTAAAAAAGCAAATTTGAAGCCAAAATAAAGAAAAAAGCCAAAAATAATTTTTAAAAGAATTTTTAAAAAAATGTGTAAACATATAAAAGATTTAATTCTCGAACTAATCTACAATATCATTTAAATTCAGAAGCATAAGCAAATCAAGTGCAAAACCAAACCATGAAAATAAATTCACTAATTTAGCAAATTAAATTAAAATTAGACCAAACAATTTTTTAAAATGCATAAGTGAATGACTGTTGAGTAGGCAGGAGACAGACTTATCAAGGGAAAGTTGCTTCCAAACCTAACTCTCCAATCATTCAATTCGTATTTCGTCATTCATGCAGGCAAGGGTAAAAAGTCAAAACCAAAAGTAAAAAGAAATACCAATAAAGTGGTACCCTTAGAAATTAACATTTAAGAATTAAAGTTCTAAAAGGAAAATACTAATGAAGTCTTTTGAGAAACAAGCAAGTAAAGTCAAGTATTAAATTAAACTTTTTTTTTAAATCAAATTTTTTAAAAATTTTTTTATAAAAAATAAAAAATAATCTAGAAACTAATGTATTTTAGAAATCCTACAGTAACCTCCCCGACACAAATATGCATATCAATAAAAAGAAACTTAAAAAAAAAAAAAAAATGAAAGAACTAGACATAATCCATATAAACCAATAAGAAACAAAGAGAACTAATTCACAATTAAATATATATATATATATTTAAATATAATTTCATATTTAGAAAATACTTAAATACTACATAAAAAATACTTAAGCAAGTAAATAGTAAGTTTTAATTCTAACTTACCTACTATATGAGTGTCGGGGTCTGCAAAAGTGTTGTTAAAGAGAAGTAAGTGTGTTCTTCAAATTATATAGATGTTGCTTATGTACACTGGTGTGCAAAAATTAAGGACAAAGTTGAAAAATTAGCATATCAGCTGAACAAAGAGGCAGAGCGAACAGAAAGACCAATCAGGAGATTAAGTAAGGTGATGTACGGTAGCACATGCGCAGATATGCAGGTAGACGTAATGGGGGAGTGTCTGAGTAGTATAAAGCATGCTGTCGATGTAAGATCAGTATTTCTGGCAAAGAGATTGCACGCCGTATAGCAGTTAAAATCACACCGAGTTGCTGCCTCAGCGAGAAATGGTGAATAATCAATCTGTTAGATGACATCTGGATGCTTTTACCCGAGGTCGAATCATTGGGAAGTTGGAGGAAGGCCGCAGTGTGACAAGTGTGGCTGCAGAGTTCGGAATTGCTCACAGCATCGTTTCACGACTTTGGAGACAATTTCAAACTACAGGAACAGCTATCCGGGGGTTTAGTAGTGGTCGTCCACGAGGAACCACACCCGTAGATGACCGGTATATTGCCTTACGGCCAGAAGAAACAGGCGGCAGACAGCGGGAGAAATCGCTAGACACACGGCACAGGCGACTGGACGACCGATATCGCGTTTTACCGTGGCCAGAAAACTGCACGGGGTGGTCTGTTTGCACGACGCCCTGTACGGTGTGTACCTCTAACGCCTGCCCATCGGAGAAGGCGTTCTTTGTGGTGCCGGGAACACCAGAATTGGAGAGACAATGAATGGGGACGAGTACTCTTTACAGATGAGAGCAGATCTAGTCTGAGTAGCGATTCTCATCGCATACTCATCTCGAGAGAGCGGGGAAGCCGCGATCATCCCTCGAACATCATTGAAAGGGACAGGTATGGAGGTGGCGGTGTTCTCGTTTGGGGAGGCATCATGCTTGGTAGTCGTACAGACCTTCACATCTTCGACGCAGGTTCAGTCATTGGGACCCGTTATTGTAACGAGATCCTTCTTCCATATGTGCATCTTTTTAGAGGCGCTATGGGTCCACAGTTCCTTTTCATGGATGACAATGCACCATGTCATCGCACCGTAGCTGCCGAACAGCTCTTAGAGAGTGAGGATATTGAATGTATGGATTGGCCGGCACGATCTCCGGATCTCAATCCCATCGAACATGTATGGGATTTTCTAGGCAGACGCTTGGCAGCTCGTACCTTACCACCAGTAACGATTCCGGAGCTTCAATTGGCACTGCAAGACGAATGGGCAGCAATGCCTCAACAATTCATTGACACCCTCATTCTCAGCATGGGCAGACGCTGTGAAACCTGCGTAGCAGTCAGGGGAGATCATATCCCCTATTAAAGACCGGATGTTTCTTGCTGGACACCCATCACAGGGATGTTTCGGCCTTCAGTCGCATTGCGCTCCATGCTACTTTTTCAGTAAAGCTTCTTTTTATCCCTCTGATTTCTCTTTTAGTAAGTGTTGCTTACATTACTCATATCCTTACGTATTGGGGATCTTACGGTATTAATGGTTGATTGGAAAGCTTTTGTACAAAGTTATATTGAAAAAACCGTCTCGTTCGTAATTTTTGGACACAGGTGTAGGTAATGTTGAGTGTCAAGCTGCTATCTTTGTTATGTTAAAAATTTTTTGTAAACATTAATATTAAAATAAAATTAAATTAAAAATTAAAATTTGCTTGAAGGAAAATAAAGTTAAGTGGTATTGTGAATTTAAGTAAACTGTTTGTAATGTGAAATGTGTGTTCTGTTGAAAAATGTGTAAAATTTGTAAATAACATAAGTGAAAAATTTTTGAGTGTGAAAATTGCAATAAATAAAGTAATAAAGTAAAAACTGAAATGTTTTAAAATTAAAGTTTAAAAAGTAAAATTTCCCAAATTTTTTGAAACGAAGTCCTTAAAACCTTTAAAAAATTATATATATATATAGTGTATATATATATTGTTGTGTGTGTAAAGGTTCATAATAGATTTAATGCATTCAGAGCCGATGATACTTTGATAAAATCTATTTTACCAAAAGAAACATTTTACAGTTTTGGAATTTTCCACAAAAGTACTTGTACAGCTGTTCTCAATATCTCAGAGTATAATCAGTAGTTGCACTTCAGACTACTAAGAACACTAAACACTGCGTAATGCAATGTGCATCTAAAAGGTAAAGCTCTCACGGATATATCAATACTGCAAACTGAACTTTAAGTTAACCAACTGAGAACTGATGCTTTTCTGGGTTTATATAGTTTTCCCCAGGCACCGAGAAATCTGGCATTTTACATTTCTTGAAATTGAAATTGCTGGAAGACATATATAGTTAGTTACACGTAAGGATCTACTTACATATAGGATTATTTACAATATCCCTTACAGTTATATGGCAACCAGACCAGAATGTCTGCAATGGTTGCCGAGTTTGGCGAATTCTCGCCCAATTTAATGACAGATTCCTCACTTAAAACATCGCCTAGTTGGCAGTGTCTCGCCAATATAGCAAAATAGCCATTTACTCATTTTTAAACATACTTGCCCCTGTGTTCTTAATTTTCCAGCAGAGCATCCCTTTCAAGCATTTCATGTTACATTATACAAAAAACTATAATTTCACATATAAATTTCGCTAAAATTATTCAGACTTGTACAAAATTTGAAACAACATATATATATTTTTTCTATTTGCAAATTATGTTATTATGTAGTGTTTATAATGATTCAGCCTTTAATTTTTAGTGTAATAATTTATTGTGTCATAAAAAAATGTACTGATATCAATGTCCAGGAGTATGAAGTGAAATATTTTCTTGTTCAGTGGGTTTACTTTCTGATCTTTGGTAGTTTTATGTTACATGACCACAATTTAATCTTGTTTATGTTGCAAAACTGGGCATCTAGTACATGAGTTTTATGGCTGTTTATTGAATAAATTTGTTTAGTTTCATGTATCTGCATGCTTTGTGTGATGAATTATTGAATGAAGGCATTTTGTGAGCTAACATAAAATAATTAAGATAGAATAATACACCGAACAAATGTTGTTGTTTGACTTCTAAATTAACATAAAATATTAAATATAAATTATTGTTATTATAAAGCTGTTTTATGATGTATAATTCAAAGTATTGCATGAATTTCCGGCATTTCTGGCAGTATGTGTTAATAGTTCAGAATGGGTTTTGTGTATGAAAAAATATGCTAAAGCTGAAGTATCTGAAGATGTTGCATTTTTCAGCAATGATGCAATTGCACAACCATATTGGAATGAACTCAAACTGTACATTTAAATTTCGGGAATGGTGAAACACATTCAGATTTGACGAATATCACGGAATGGAGACATAAATTTGATAAGCCTTTTTTTGTCTTCCGTTTATTTTTTTAATCATTTAAAATGTTTCATTTGTGAGATGTATGAATTGTATATTTTTACTGTATTTTTGCATTTGATTAAAATTTTTTTGCCTTCCAGTCTTATCATATGCTAGGAACCAATGATGTAAGACTGTTTTGTAATGGCTATTATGCAGAAATATTGGTATTGGATGTATTAACATTTGATATACTTTTTACGTTATCCTCTCGAGTGAATCCTGATTGGATAAGTGCCATGCATGTGCTTCGTCCTGCTAAAAGGCCAGGTGATTTTTTTTATTTCTTTTAGATAACTTATGGGATTATATAGAAAATGCTTTATTTAACTTAATATATTAGGATTTATCATCTTTTCAAGCAATTATTTTGCTTTTTAGATGATGTCATAGTTGGTTTATCTGCTGCTGGAATGGTTAAAATCTGGACGTTGAATGGAAATGAAACAAAAGTAAATAATAATAATTTTCTGATCTTTAATATGTTGTCTTTAAAATAACTTTTGGAATTATTTGTTTTCCTGATGCATTTTCCATCTGATCTTTTGAAAAGAAATTACGAGGATTAACTTAATATTGAGTTTATTTTTAGTTAGTAAAATATTAACTAATATTTTATTAACTTCAAGTTTTCTCTTATTTTAGAACGAGCCTGTATATGAGTATGAATCAAAGCCTATTTGCTGCTTAAATGCATTGAAGTTAACATTTTGTATCTATAATCAAAGAACTGTTTTAATTGTTTGTACAAAGTACTGGCAGGTAAGTGTATAAAATTTTATGTTTATATGTGTGTGTCTGTGCTTACATTTATGTAATATATAAAATATGCGATTATATTTTTATATATGAGCGTATATACATATGATGTATATACACACACAAACACAAACAGCGTACAAACTTCTGGGATGGTGCGGTTTCTGAAAGGTGAAACGAAGTTAGATAGTTTCGCTGAGTCAGAAATGCCACCATATGCTAATTTACAGGTGAAAATTGTAAGAATAGCACACAAATGAATAAAATATGGTTTGTTAATAACAAAAGATACTTTTGTGAAATGCACAGCAGTCAGAAGTTATTCAAAATTGTATACATGAATTGTAATACACGTTTGCCATTATTGGCATATGGAATAATGAACATTTAATATTAAATTTAACATTTGAAGATTTTAGGTTTATCTTGGATGGCTGCAGTAGGTACAGATGTCCATGCATCAAGATCCTCAGTACTGTTCATGAAAATGTCATACATCAGAGCTTTCAGATGTTCCCAGAAAAGTAATGCAGGATAAGTGTCTGATGAAAAGGACTGTACCTGATCCTCTGTTGTACAAATGATATGTTTAAGTATTGATGCATGTTATCTCTGGAAATGGGAGGTGGCTGATCATGCTGAACCACATTTGATGGCATAGCGATTGCTGGACCATTCATCTAAAATTTCTGACAAGACCTCATCCAGAAATATCTTGTAACTCTGACCTTCCATATAAATGGTCATTGCGAGTCATAAATGGTCCTTAACAATGCCAGACAAACATTTACATTAAATGATTTTTCCTGAGATTGCATTTTCTAGTATTGCTCTTTGCCATGTAAACCATCTATCATGTGATAGCTAATAATTCTGAGTCTACGTGTCTATATAATTCTCTCGTCTTTAAGCAGCGTGCACCTTCAAGAAGTTTGTACATGCTGTAATGAAACACACTGAAATTACATCTTCCAGTGTTGAACTAGGCCATATAAACCATCTGTCATTTAAAGGTAACGTTTCTGAGTCTATATCTACATGATTCTCTTTTTGTCTTTGAGCAACCTACACCTCCAAAAAGTTTGTACATGTTGTAATGATACATCCTATATATATGTTTATCTATCTATATATTTAATACATTTTAAGTACTTAAAAAAAACTTGCGTAAAGGATCAGTTTAATGAATATGTGGTCATTTTAATGTGCAAAAGTAAAATTTTCGTTTTTATGCAAAATGATTAGGATAATTGTAATGAAACTTTAGGCTTTTTTTTAACATTAAAGTTGATTTAAAATGACATACAGAAATAAAGAATTAGTGTTTTTAACAGATTTATGATGCTGGAGATTTCTCATTGCTTTGCTCATCTGATAATCCCCGTAATGAGCGGTGGATGGGAGGAGAATTTTTGTCTGCTGACCGGGTTTTAATATGGAGTGACAGTGGTAAGGGCTACATGTATAAATTGCCTACAAAGTAAGTATAATTATCTAAACTTATTTGTAATGGCAGTCTCTTAAATCTATTTTACAATCTTTTGAAGCAATTTTTTATCCTCATCCATGTACAGTTTTCTATTTACCCACTGAAGCTCCCATTTGAAAATTAAGCTATAGTTTTGTATCGGTGACACAGGATCTCGGTAAATTTTTTTCACATCTCCCCCCCCCAAAAATTCTTAATAACGAATAACAGATCATAATCTTAAATGCAAAGTTCTTTAATAACTATCGTTGTATGAAAATAGTTGAAATATGTTTATGCAAAACAATCTTGGTTATAGCAGTTGTAAACTTGATGCAATTTGTAGTGAATTGTATTGATTGAAATCCTTACAAGAGAAGTGCATGAGCTTAGAGATTGATTTTCCCCCAAATCTATGTCTAATAATTTTCAAGGTCTCTTATAGCTCAATTTACAGAGTTATAGGAGATCTTGACATTAGAACTATCAGCAATAAATGTGTACATAACTTCTGCTAAAGAAATAGAGGGGAAAATATCTAGTCATGCATATGTGAAAAACAAGCAGTCAGGCTTTAGAAATAAGTGAAAAATGTAGTCTGCAGTTTTGAGTAATATATGCACAGTATGTAAGGAATGTGTCTACAGACTTTGTTCCTTAATTATTGATGGCAGACATATATGCCAAAATATTAAGTTTCTCAAAATAAGTTTAGATTTTTTATTAGAACAGTTTTGTGAACATGAACTGCACTTATTTCATAGCTTTTCCTTATAAGTATGAGAAAATTTTAGAGGTAATATTAGGGCACATTTAATTTCGGATTGCAAAGTAATTGAAGTTAGTAAACTTGTTTTATAATATCTAAATAAATTTTGCAAAACAGAGCCTGTAGTTACCTTTTTGAATTGTGTATTATTTGAATTGATTAAAGTTATGAATTTTTGTTTTAATACTAATCACTTTGTTTTGGATACATTAATATGCAAACAGCTTTTTTTGACAGTTGAAAATTAATAAGAAAAGATCGTGGTTGACCGATGAGCATCTACAATCCATGAAGAAGATAATTTCTAGAAATTTTTCTCCAGTGCATGGATATTATACAAAAAGATTTTGTATTTACATACAAAATTTATAATTATTTGCATATAAGTATATATATTGTAATTTATGTATCAAAGAAAAAATTAAAATAATTTAGAGAAAGAGCGTAGATTGCCATAATTTATTCTCATGTTTTGTCCCACATAAAAAGTTTTCTTTGAAAGCTGAGAAATTTTTCGTATAAATTAAAGTAAGTTATTTAATGATTAATTGAGTATATTAGAATTATCTGACATAATACCGGTATGAAATATTAATGTATTTAACTGGTGATATGTTTCAGTTAAAAAGTGCAACCAAAAAAAAAAAATGCTTTGCAGGTACCAAACTTTAAATTTTGGATAGAAAATAAATATGAATTCGAATTGTTTTTGCTTGCATCATTATAATTATTGTTTATGTCTGTTTTGATAAATATTAGAAAAAAAATTTTTTTCCTGACGAGAAGTTTTCATTTTGTTAAAAAGAAAACTCATGTCAACTGTTTTCACATTGTGCATTTGGTCCACGTGGAATTTGAGTTTGAGACCACTGCTGTAAAGCATAGTTCTTCTTAATTCTTTTCAATTAATCACTTTCTGTGCATTTGCAGAAGGGTTTTGTTATTTTATGCAAGTAATAAATTCATTTTCTGTATAAATTTTCAAATAATTTTCTGTCATTGTGTATTAAGTACCTGGTTATTTTTAATGTGGTATATAGCTGTTGTTTTTACATTACTAATGTTAAAAGGGTATTTTCTTTAGGAATCTTTAATAAGGAGAATGTTTAAATAATTAATTAAAAACTGTTTCTGTCAAAAAAAGGAGGAAAAAAAGGATGAGAGAGATTATTTTGCAATCTCTTTCTGCAGTACTTCCTTTTGAAATATTTGTTGAACATATCTTAGTTATTAAATTCTCCACTTTCACACAGTTAAAACCAGAATTTTGAGTAGATTATTTTATTTTTAAATTATGGAACATTTTGATGTATGCTTTCACAATTAATAAAAGGATAGGTCAAGTTATCGTTTATATCAGTAAATTTTCTATTTCAGTCTTAAAAGTATTATTTTGATCAGTAAGTTGCTTGTTTTGCAAGCAGTTGACATACAAATATTTGTTACTTTTCACGTTTGTAATACAGTCAAATACCGAAAATCCGCCAACTCCTGAAATCCGCGTTGCCTCTCAGAATATAAAGCATTTAGTTTATAGGTTCCAGAAACCGCAACATGGAGTATGAAATATCGAAGAAAAAATATCTACTGGATAAAATGACGTCACAATTACCGAATAATAATGAGTCATAACGGTATTGACATCACAATAAGAGTTTTTTCTCCCTCCAATCTGCATCGAGGTAAAAAAGCAGATGATTAACTCTTCTTTCAAGTTTACACTTCCACGAGATTATTTAGTGATGTCGTTTTTTTTAATCCGGATATTTTGTGGATAAATTAAGAATATTTTTAATTTCAGCTCTTTTTAATACGACAGATAAGAAATGCACTCGTGATTTTGCTGCTTGCAACGTTGAAAAGTGTAAACACGTTGCATTGGCGGTAATGAAAAAAGTGGAAATTCTTCTAAAGATAGAGGTAGGCGCTTCTGCTCGGTTTATAGCAGAACCGTATGGAATTGCCACACGGACTGTGTATGCTATATGGAACAATAAAGAAAAGCTGTTGAAATTTTACAGCAACAGTGATTCTAACAGCGGAATCCGAAACCAGGAATCTTTACATGAGGCGAAATCGGCAAACCTTGATGCTGTCTTGTACGAGTGGTTCCAGCATGAGTACAGCAGTGGTATGAGTGGCGGAGTGATGGGGTACGTATTTCAGGACTGCTCCTGAGAAAAAGGGAAAGCAGATTCATGCTGATTTAAAAATAGAGGAGCCTAATGTAAATGAACAATATAGTATAATCAGTTTATATATGTAATAATAATTTAATGCATATAATTATTATATTAATGTAGATAATAATTTAATTAAATGTATCTAATACGCCTTATTTATTTTGCACTTTTAGTCTGAATATTATCTTTTCTGTCCTGAAATCCGCAAAATCCTAAAATCCGCACAACCTCTGGTCCCAAGCATTGCGGATTTCTGGACTTCTACTGTACCTTTATGTAAACCTTTACTCTTTAGATGCAAAATTCCAAATCTACTGTCTTGTACTTAATTGTTCATGTGTCATTAATGGAGCTTCTGGTTTTTAAATTACACTTCTGTGAAGATCATCTTGGTTAAATGCTAAAAATATTTTCTTCATTCCTACTGCTTTTTAAAATTTCTAATGTGATGGAGTGGGAAGTGTTTTTCGTGACATCTGTCTTAAAAAAGGGTTAAAATATATTTATTGTTGTTATTTATATGGTAATTATTTTAAAAGCCATTTTGTGAAATGTAATATTTATTGCAAAATATACTTTTAAGCTACAGAGGCTGGTCGCACATTTTTCAGACGACTTGGCTTACTAAAAAAAATCCTGTTTGGGGGGGGGGAATTTAACTGCAGCTATATTTTTTAAAGTGTAGATTATCGTCTGCTACTTGACAATTTTGTTTTCATGCAGAATTCAGCTTTTAAAGGTGCAATGGATGGAATTTGTGCTCTTTCCAAAGAAAATTATTCGTATTTAGTTAATTAAAAAATGCTGTGAAAGCTATGATTTTTCCAATATCTAAGTAAATGGTGGATAGTACTGTCAGTAAGAAAGGAAAAAACATCAAAGTTTGCGTCAAGGGAAAAAACATGTTCAAAATACATAACCAAGGAAGAAACGGAATGCTTCGAATGTTACAAAAGTAAGAAATTTAATGTTAAAAGAAAATCTGGAAAGTCGGAGAACAGTTGCATCATCATAAAAATCTTAAAAATCTGATTTGAATCTTGAAAAGGGGGAAAAAATGTGCATAGTCTTTTTCCACTGCATATTGCCAAAAGCAAAATGCACTGCAGAATTCTGTATGAGAAACAATTATTCAGACAAAAATGGAAAAAAAGTGGTCCCAAAATATGAATTTTGGGTGTATATATATAGAGAGATCCATTTATTATCATCAAAGAGAAGAAAAATATTAGAACATGGTTCAAAGTATCTAAAGAAAGTTTTTCAAAGGGATTTATGATTCTTGATATAAGTCTTTTGATATGAGGGAAAATAAAAATTAAGGGGAGTGCAGGAAACTTAAGGTCAATTCCACATATTATGAGAAATATATTTTATAACCAGTTTTCAAACATGAAACACCTTCTCTTTGCCCTCAGTGCCATCAATCAATAGAACTGCATGAAGGCAAAACAAGCAGCTGCACGTCAAAAGTCACTTTTAATTTCCTGAAAAAAAAAAAAAAGAGGGGGAACAATAAACATGTGTCAAGACTTTACTTACACTTCACTCATATCCCTACTAAATCTTCTGATGTATCATACGCAGATTTTTGCACTTTTGGACTTTTAGAAAGCATATTGTCCAAACATTGACCTATAGCCCTCCTTGGACTTTGGAAAGCTGTTTGATACCAGTGGAATAAAATATGGAAAGCTGTTCAAGAGGAATTTGATAAAATACCTCTTTCGATACTGAAAAATGCTTTATTATCTTTAAAATTATGGTATAGAAAAAAAGGAAGAATAAGGGTTAGCAAATTGAACATTTAAAACACAAAAAGATTAGGTAAAGTATTTCTGTAAATAGAATTAAATTCATCTAAACAGTGTGCAGACAGCCTCTGTATTAATTTATTTCTAACGTATAGTAAATACTCAGTTTTTTCCAGTCTGTGTAAATCTTTTTTTTTTTTTTTTTTTTTTTTGTTTATGTTCATTGTACTGTTATGCTCCATGCTACCTATTTTCTGAAAATAAATAAATAAAATACAATACTTTGCTTTTTTTGCAAGCAAACTGAAGGGGAAAATGTTTAGGTCAGTCAGCTTTGTTTTCCTTGACATAATTGCGATATTAATAGCTTAGTTCCAGCTTTCATTTTACTATGTTAAAAGCTAAATTAAGAAATTAGCTAGTGCTATGCAATGCCTTTTTTTTAACATGGGCTATTTTTTTCTCTGCATCAAATGTGTTAAATTGTGAGATTGTGCCTTTTGTATTGTCACACTAGAATAAAACTGAAATGCTCCTGCCAATAACATATGTACCATTTTTAAATATGTTAATATAATGTTATTTTTTATAGAATATAACCATAACCAAAATTAGCAACAGAATGCAATGTCTATTTTGCTTCCACTTTAAGCTATATGGCATATTAACTGAGAATTTTTCCATATAATTTTCTTTAAGTATGTCATATTGTCTTTACTCTATTTGGCATGTGTTATAAAGGATGAGTTCTATTTTGGCCGTATAAGAAAGCCATACCTTCATAATGTAATCTGAATTTTATCAGAAATGAATCTTTGTCAATCGTATTCAATTTTCCAACTTCTTTCTGGTGAAGTATTTAATTATCAGATGTAGCACTATCAGTTTTAATAATGTAACAGCAGTAAATTTTTTCTTATGTTTTATTTTGTCCTTTATGTCAATGTTATATATTAAACTCTTCTTTGTAGCTGTAATCCCGACAGTAAAGAATTTCATTCGGAATCTAAGACAGATGATCAGGCTGTATTGTACAGTATTTTGGTTGTACCAGATGACAAGGTAATTGTTTATCATTATTTGGTGTTGGTAATTTTGTTTGTAGAACAACCTAACTTGATTTTATTTAACATGCTTTGAATATTCCAAGTTTTATTGTGTGTCATTGTGCTTTATCATTTAGTGATTTTTTACTCCCCTCAGAGACTTCTTTGTCCACCAGCTATGAATTTCACAACTGTTCGTGGTCAGTTACAGAAAATCCTTTTGCGAGGAGATTCGAGTGGTCGAGTCACTTTGTGGAATGTACCTGATATCCCTGATTGTGATATTCAAAAACTGAAGTCGGAGAAAGAGAATAATTGTCCTGGTTAGATTTTTTTGAAATATTTAGTAATATAAGTCCTTATTGATGTATGCATTTTTATAGAAGGAATAAACAATATTTTTTAAAGATTCTGTATGTATATATTGCAAGCTTTTAATGCATAGATTCAGTTATAGGTACTTCCCTTTACAGTGGCTTGGGCGAGGAAAACATCATTGGTGCAGTTCGGGCTTATGAAAGTCCAATTATGCTATGAGGAGCCACAAAAATTAAACTAAACAGGAATTGAGGCAAACTGACAGTTCATTTAATATCTGCACATAGAAGCAATTTCATCTAAATTTGTATCTATAATTTTGTTTTAACACAATTTTATACTCAATTTATTTAAAATAAAATTGTAATCCTATCTGTTTATTGATTATTAAGACAATTTAAACATGGGTGAGCAAACCCTTTTTTTATTTCGTTATTTCACTGATCCTAATTAGTGTTCTTTCTGTCTATATCATCTTTTCCCATCAAATGCAGATTGAAAATAATAAAAAATAAAAGGAAAAATGATTATACTTTCAAAAAGAAAAGTTTCATTAAGGTTTCATTCATAGTGAAAAATTATTACAGGATATTTTAAAAGAGAAATGAAACCCTTGAGCACATATGCAAATCGGCAATCTTCCATTTTTTCTCATGGTGAAGACATATTGGCTGTATTTTGAAAGAAAATTTTCACTGTCTTAAGAAATGTGAACCATATGCAAATGCACAAATCAGAAACAGTTTAGTTCTTGCCAAGGCAGATATGCTGTTTCTCGCCAAGGCTGCTATGAAAGGGAAGTACTCAGTTATATTCTGGTCTGATGAATAACTTTTATGTACAATTCAATTTTGTATTAACCAGAGCATTACCCAGAAACAAATATGAGCTTGGAAGAGGCATGGAATTCTATGCGTCCATCCCCTGCAGGGATATTAGATCAGATGGTAAGCTGTAGGTGCTAACACCATATCTGTCATTCATTTAAACTCTGCTTGCAATTCCTATAGATCATTCAGTATCGTGCTTTGTACAATCCATTGCGATTTTTACATAAACTAGTGAACATCAGTTATGTAATATTTACTGTATGATAATGATTACATTCTGTTTCTTTATACTTTTCTTTATAAGTTGTAGTGTTTTCTTTTTATTTTCGCCTTTTATTTTATTTATTTATTTTTTTGTTTGTTGACTATTTGTATAATATTGGTTCAAGGGAAAATATTTCAAATGTACTGCATATACTTGTATGTACTCTTGATTACATTTCCCCCTTAACTTTTCAGCTTATCAAATTTAGAACCTTTAATTTATGGTGGCAATATGGGGGGTTTGCGCACCTAGAAAATTACATTTGCATAAGTGGTATTGAAATTTATCATTTAATTGATTTCTTTGAACTATTTGATGCACAGCATTAGTACTTTTATTTATATGTGCTTTCTAGTGTACTGTGTTTTAATTTTAAATTTTCCCACAAGAAAGGATGTGTGCTGTGTAAATTTCCTGTTTTAATTTTAAAGGGGTAAAATTAGTAAAAAAAAATGAAAAAACATATGAGTAAATATTTAATTAGCATTTTCTTTTTGACATATGAAATATTTCAAAAATCTAGTTTGTCCCTCCTTCCCTCCTGGTGTTTGCTGATTTACACTCTATGATCTTTTTAATTAGCAGTTTACCAAGGCTGTAAAAATCTTAAATAAATGGATGCTATGTTCAAAGTGTGTGCCAAGCAAGAATGGGTAGGAACATGGTGAAGTGTTACAGCCAAAATGTGCTCAGAACAGCTTATCCACAAGAGTATGGCTACAAGCACAAATATGCATGCATAATGGGTCCAGTTTTCCATTATTTTGTGCACTGTTTTGATTAAAAAGTGTATTTTTAATGGATAGAAAATACTTAAGTGTTGTTAAAGTTTGCATAGATAGCTATAAAATGAAGGCAGATCTAATGGGGGGTGAGGTTTGCTGATGAGTGAGGAAAATGTGAAACCAAGTAATGGTTGTGATAATGGGAATGAATTATGTATATGTAAAGGCAACTTAAAATGTAGAAGGGAAAAGTTGCAATTTTTTTATTGTAAGAAATGCCAGTTTTTTCTGTTGTGAAATCTCAAAAAAGCATATTCAAATGACAAAATATTTTTGGAAATACCAATAGTAGAAAACAGCTGTGATATTCAGCTCTAATTTAATTAGTTTATCAGCAGTTGGTGCTCATAAAAGGTTTTATTCATCACAGTTGTCTATATTTTCAAATGTACACTGGTGTCCGAAATTAAAGTTACACATATTTTTTGCAACAATTCAAAACAGCTATCATTAATATTTTAAAATATGATATAAGGTGTTACACTTTTAAGGATATGTTTTCTAAGAAAACATGAAAGTGACCAGTTTTCCGAATAAGCAGAATTCATTTATAGAACAGTTTCTTAGTGCTTTCAGCTAAAGTAATTTTTTGTAATTGCTTAGGTCATAGATGAGGAAACTTTTTTTTTACAATGGGCAAACTACAAATTTAAAAATTTTGCACATGTCAGATATGAGAAATACATTTAAATATCAACTTTAGATGGTGAACACAAATTATCTCTTTATTAAATGAAGAAACTAAATACCAATCTTATAAAAATAACTTTAATATATAATACAAATATTATTAAGAAACAGTGAAAGATAATTATCATAAAATTTTTTAACAAATTTTGATGAGAAGTGTGCAACCTATAGGTCTGCATTTCCAAATAGAGATGATACAGCAACTCACACATGGCTTTCCAATTGTTAATCCTTTACGCTCAATCAGTTGTTGTCTTTAATATTTTCATTGTTAAAAATAATTGCTCACAAACATAAGTACATCTGAAAAGTGTCGAGATTTGCATTGCATGTGTGACTAATCCTGGAAATTTTTCTAAAATCATGTAATTTTGGTAAAAGTTTTGGATGTCCACGTTCTGAAATTTATTTCTCAAATTCGAGATGTAAATCTATTGACTCCATTTGTAATTCATCCAGAGCTGTTTCCACATCTATATTAAATGATGAGAAAAAAAGGGTTAAAACTAAGAACAGTTTTATCCAATCTAAATGTTTAAAATCACGATTCAAATTTGGTTATTAAATTTTGTATTTCAGAATATTTTGACGTTTTTGAAGGAGATTCTGTTCTAGTTTGGAAACCTTGACGTGTTGTTTGACAGCAGATGTTTATTCCAAATTTTGAGTTTGCTTGTAAAAGCTTAAATTTTATCAAACATGTTACATGTAAACTGGCTTTTTTCTTGAAGTTCCATATTTTAGTCATTCAGATGCTATGTTACATCAATGAGAAAGCAAAATAATTTATCCATTCTTTATCTTTGAATTGGGGAAATGGATATTTTTTCCTTTCCGCCAATAAACGAATTTCATTTTTAAAATTACATACTCTTTTTATCATTGTACCTCTGCTTAACCAACTTGCTTCTGTGTTATAAATTGCATCATCATACACACTTTCCAAATCTTTTAAAAATTATTTAAATTGGCAGTGATTTAATGTTTGAGATCTGGGAAAGTTAATAAAACTTCAGAAATTAGCTATTACACATACAGCTGTATTTTGCACATTGAGTAGAGATTATCGTGTCTCAACAGAATATATTTGAGCACCATTATTATTGTCCACATTAGGAAAGATAGTTTTGTAATATTTCACCAAGGGTATGCTTTTTTCTATATTGATGAAGGATAAATCTGTAAAATATATCAGATCAAGTGTACTAGGTAACATCGTCTAGGAAACTCAGATCTACTGGTACTGTCTGATGGTAACAGTAACAATTGCAAATGTGTTCTCAAATTCAGTAGCAGTTGCAGTATGAGACAGAGGTGACAAACTAATGTGTGCTGTAGGGATAACATTATAGATGATTAGCCATTGCATTTGTGCCCTTGATTTTGGCAGACAACTAATTCCATCATAACAGCATGAACAAGATGCTTATACAATCAATCTCGCAGCTCAGTGGCCAAGCATGCCTGTAGATAGTCTCATCCATGTGCAACAACTCAGCACGCTTGCTTGCATCACAGACAATATAACAAATATGATGCTTGTGATAGCAGTGCAAAGGGACGATGGGATGCTTTGGAAGGTACTGATTTCTCAATGCTTCATTGGTCTCAGAACCAAGAGAACTCCAGATTGAGTTCTGTTAGTAATACAGTGACTAGAGAACACTAATTCCATAATGTCATCTCTTAATCATAGCAAAAATATCTATTACTAAGCTCAATATATCTCAAACTTAATAATAGATATACTATCAGATGAAGGTGGCAAAATCATTAACTATATTTTAGCAATTACAGTGGGCATTTAATGAAGGAGACTATAGCATTGTTGTTATAGATGACCTTGTATTCATAAAGTCATTGGTCTTGTTGTTTATGATAGGCTGTTTATGTTGTTTGTGACACATGCAAATTGCATTCTTTTATTTGTCTTTAAAAATATAGCTTGCACCTGATTCCTACAATTTGAAGCTTACTGCAAGTGTGTACCTTCCACTCCAAGGCAGACTAGTGTGTGGAAGGGAAGATGGTTCAATTGTAATAATATCTGCAACACAGACTGTTCTTTTGCAACTTTTATATGGAAAGCATCAAACATATGAAGGTAAATAGATTGTATTTTAGCATTTAAGGAAGTCAAATGCCTGAATTTTTGTTTTTTGTATTTTGGAATATTACTAAGTGTTTTATGTTCAAGGAAATTATATTCAAATGAATTTAATTTCATAAACAAACAGGCATAATTTGTGGTAATAAATTGAAAGATAACTGTTTTAAAATGTTATGGTTTATACATTGTAGTTATTGCTATTATTTTGAATTATTTATTATATATTTTCTTCTCCTCAGATTGGCCGCCTCATCAATTGCTTCATGGGCACAATGGGAGAGTCAATTGTCTTCTGTATCCTTATCTAATGCACAATCGATATGACATTGCTCATTTACTCTCTGGTGGAGTAGATTTTTCTGTTTGTCTATGGGATATTTATACTGGGACACTTCTTCACCGTTTTTGTGTGCATGCAGGTGAAGTGACACAATTACTTGTGCCACCTGTAAATTGCAGTGTGAGTTTAATGCTGAATGCTTATTTTTACAGTTATTTTTACACTATATTATATCTCATTATTTTTATATGTTTTGCTTTAGATAAAAATTAGTTATTGGTAAAATAATGCTGTGTGTTGCATTATTGACATAGCTCCCAAGATAGAGTAATATAAAAATACTTCATTGAATTTTTAAGGTTCTATGTAAGTGACATATTTGAAGCAGAATTTTTGATCTTTTAAACCTTTCACAGTGAAGTTGCCCAATGCCCGTGCATTCAAACATCGGCAGGTCACCTGAACGCCTGCATCCATTTTCTACCTCCTGCTTTCTCCCATTATGTTAGTGTATATCTTATTGGTTTCAGGAGCTGTTAAATGATATGTCAATCACGCTTTTGAAGCAAGTAAAGTACCTGCTCTCATTTGCCATCCTATCTTAATGGGAAACTGCACACAATGGATGAAACCACACAAAGATCCCCAAAGAAAGAAGTAATCGCTTCACTTAAGTAGGTTATTGTTAACGTTGTAGCATTCTGCTTGGTGAGTTGGGGAAGGAAATTCATAAAGAGCATTAGTTATGTTTTAATGGAAGTGAAATATGTTGGCAAGTAATCACTGGTATTGTGAGCTCAATGAAGGGAAGCTTTGTCTATATGTCAAGACTTGGTGTTCTAATTTTACGATATAAATTTTGAATTGATGAAGGGACATCATCCTATATTTTAGCATACACTGGTGTGCAAAAATTAAGCACGAGATGGTTTTTTCAATATAACTTTGTACAAAAGCTTTCCAACTCAACACGTTTAATACCGTAAGATCCAATATACGTAAGGACAGGAGTAATGTAAGCAACGCTTACTAAAAGAGAAATCAGAGGGATAAAAAGAAGCTTTATTGAAAAAGTAGCATGGAGTGCAATGCGACTGAAGGCCGAAACATCCCTGTGATGGGTGTCCAGCAAGAAACATCCGGTCTTTAATAGGGGATATGATCTCTCCTGACTGCTAGGCAGGTTTCACAGCGTCTGCACAGGCTGAGAATGAGGGTGTCAATGAGTTGTTGAGGCATTGCTGCCCATTCGTCTTGCAGCGCCAATCGAAGCTCCGGAATCGTTACTGGTGGTAAGGTACGAGCTGCCAAGCGTCTGTCTAGAAAATCCCATACATGCTCGATGGGATTGAGATCCGGAGATCATGCCGGCCAATCCATACATTCAATATCCTCACTCTCTAAGAGCTGTTCGGCAGCTACTGTGCGATGACATGGTGCATTGTCGTCCATGAAAAGGAACTGCGGACCCATAGCGCCTCTAAAAAGACACACATATGGAAGAAGAATCTCGTTACAATAACGGGTCCCAATGACTGAACCTGCATTGAAGATGTGAATGTCTGTACGACTACCAAGCATGGTGCCTCCCCAAGCGAGAACACCGCCACCTCCATACCTGTCCCTTTCAATGATGTTCGAGAGATGATTGCGGCTTCCTCGCTCTCTCCAGATGAGTATGCGATGAAAATCGCTACTCAGACTAAATCTGCTCTCATCTGTAAAGAGTACTCGTCCCCATTCATTGTCTCTCCAATTCCGGTGTTCCTGGCACCACAGAGAACGCCTTCTCCGATGGGCAGGCATTAGAGGTACACACCGTACAGGGCGTCGTGCAAACAGACCACCACCGTGCAGTTTTCTGGCTACGGTAAAACGTGATATCGGTCGTCCAGTCGCCTGTGCCGTGTGTCTAGCGATTTCTTCCGCTGTCTGCCGTCTGTTTCTTCTGGCCTGTAAGGCAATATACCGGTCATCTGCGGGTGTGGTTCCTCGTGGAGGACCACTACTAAACCCCCGGATAGCTGTTCCTGTAGTTTGAAATTGTCTGCAAAGTCGTGAAATGATGCTGTGAGCAATTCCGAACTCTGCAGCCACACTTGTCACACTGCGGCCTTCCTCCAACTTCCCAATGATTCGACCTCGGGTAAAAGCATCCAGATGTCATCTAACAGATTGATTATTCACCATTTCTCGCTGAGGCAGCAACTCGGTGTGATTTTAACTGCTATACGGCGTGCAATCTCTTTGCCAGAAATACTGATCTTACACTGACAACATGCTTTATACTACTCAGACACTCCCCCATTACGTCTACCTGCATATTAGCGCATGTGCTACCGTACATCACCTTACTTAATCTCCTGATTGGTCTTTCTGTCCGCTCTGTCTCTTCGTTCAGCTGATATGCTAATTTTTCGACTTCGTCCTTAATTTTTGCACACCAGTGTAATTTAGTATTGACATATATAACTACATTATATTGTATTATGTAATTGTAATTACAGTCAGCAGGTTTATAAGTTTGGTACTAATAAGTTTTTTCAGGTCTCTTGAAGTCAAAGTAAATTTATTACTTAATATGAATTATTTTTCTTGTAGAATCGAGTTCTTCAGTCTGTCTGTTCAGTTGCTAGTGATCATTCTGTTGCATTGCTTGCATTAAAAGATAAGAAATGTATAATGCTGGCTAGTCGACATCTGTTCCCCATTCAAGTTATAAAATGGAGACCTTTGGATGATTTCATGATTATTGCATGTTGTGATGGATCTGTTTATGTGTGGCAAATGGAGACAGGTAATTTTTGTTCTTTTTTTGCTAGTTGGAATATGCATTTTAATTGTATTCTAATAATAGCTATTAAGAAATAGCTGAGAGCAAATTTAGGCTCCTTTTTGTTAATTAGTATAAAATATTTTGGATGTTATAAACTGCTGTATAACAGTTCCAGGTAATTATGTGCACTTAATAACATTATGATGTGCTTTTAAGGTTAACTCATAACATTTACTTTAAATTATGTAATTTGAACATTTTCTGTTATGTAAAAGTCATTATGGTAATAGGTATGGTGTCCAGTTCAAATGTTGAAATTATATATTTAATTCCTGATAGTATTGCAGAAATTAAAATTTTTGACATACAAATTGGTCAGAATTAAAACACTCCTACTCTGAGTTCTCTATACATTGAACTACTGAGTGTAAAGGCTCCAAAATTGTTGAACATACTATTCAAGACATGGGGAAATGGATTACATGAAAAAAAAATTAGTCCCAGAAACACCAATAGATAGTGCTGTACTACAGAAAATATGCTGAAAAGACGCAAAATACACATTTGTAACACATTTTATTTGAATGTACCAAACATTCATATCAGAAGGACCTTATCGATGCAGGGGAACCTGCTCAATATGGTTCCCTTCGTCAAGATGTAAAATCTGCAGTCTGTGGGCAGCTTGTTCAACTGCGAATCGTAATTGATCGCTTAGCATCTTGCAGAGTGATACTGTCTTTCAAATCTGCCAAGATTATCAGACGTCCTTAATAAAAAAGAGTTTTTAAGTAACCCCACAGCCAAAAATCACAGTGATTAAGATCTGGAGAACAAGATGGCCAGGTTGTTGGAAACGCACGACTAATTATTCTACCATTTGTAAAATGTTGCCAAAGAAACTGCTGTACACAGAGTCCAATGTGTTGAGGTGCTCCATCTTCCATAAAGGTAATTGAATCACGACATCAGTGTTGTTTCATTTGGGGTACAAAAAAATTTTCGAGCATGTTTAGTACCTCCTGGCCGCCACAGTGTCACACGCCCATTTCGCATAGTCTGTTCAAGAAAGAAAAGAACCAATTTGTTCTTTTTTTTTTTTTCATATCGGCAATAGAAATTATAAATAAAAAATATCATACTGCATGTGTGCGTTTTTTTGGGATTATTTGTGTCTTTTCAGTATATTATCACCATCTATTGGTGTTTTGGGAACTAATTTTTTTTTTCACATAATCCGCTTCCCTATGTTTTGAATAATATGTTGAAGAATTTTGGAGCGCTTACACTCAGTAGTACGATGTATAGAGAGCTCAGAGTAGGGATGCTTTAATTCTGACTACCTTGTATTATGCAGCAACGCTACCAATTTGTATATCTACATAGTGGAATGAAAAAAAGTTAGAAACGTACATTTCCTATTTGCTGTAGTAATTAAAAATTACATCATAAAGCTTCAGTATATAAACAAGAGTGGCTGAGAGCAAAGTGCTTCTTCCTGATATTCTGAGCATATAAGGTTACTCTGCCCTCCGGTTCAACTGTGGTATCACCTTCCAACCCGTTCAGTTCTTGTGTCCTCAGTTCCAGCAATGTGTGTGGTTCCTGTACCAGTTATACAAAACTACTAGATCATAAGGGCATGTCCCGGTGGCGTAATGTTAGACGGGACATTGAGTTGAACAGTGTTAAGCGAATTTCGCTTACTGCGCATGCTTGATGGTGTACCTTTGGCGCGGGGAGAAATATTGGCGACTGAGCAACCATACGCTAGCTTATTCGTGATCTCCATGGCTGCCAAGTGATGTTTGCAATTCCAGTGTTGTGAAACTTTGTTTATTAGCTATTTTAACGTCCGTACCGATGGCACTTGCTTATTTTTCTAATATATGTTTCATTTTAATTTGTCAATAACAGTGCATTTAATATTTTTTAGCATATATTGTGCATAATAATTTGTTATTTAGGTGTAATTTGTTTACATGTTATAATTCAGTTATGTAAACTGGATTTTCTCGCTTAGTTTGTTAACGTATATTCACGCTTGTATTTTCTTATATCAAAGAATTAAATAAACAGCATTAAGTAATTGTAAAATTTCTTCAATGTTATTTACAATTCCTCCGTATTTCTTTACGTAAGTAGGAATTGAACGTAGGGTAAATCCTGAATTGTTTTTATTCCTTAAAAGTATAATTAATAAATTTTCAACTACTATATCCTAAATTTCAGTCTTATTCTGAACGAAAATTCGTACAGCTCCAAAGGAAAGTGCAGAATTTCATAACTATTGCCTCTTGCATTTTGAATGTGAACACTGCTTCACATTATTTCGTAATAATTATTTACATCTCCTCCCTCTATGCCTGTATCAATGTTTTCATCGGGTTATTTATCAATAATTTCCTATATCATCTACAAGGAACAGAAATTTAAAGCGATGAATTATTGAAATGAATTTTAGTTAGTATTTGAAGTTATTTAGAATTCTACTGCAATGGGAAATATGTTATTTAGATTTCTGTTGCATTAAAAATTATTTAAAAGCTGTGTAGAAATATTATTTTGAAATGTAAAAATTTTAAGTAGCAAAATTAAAAGTATTTCAAAGGTAGCTGTTGTCACTGATCATAGATTGATTTGTCAAGGGAAACAAACCAAGACTTCAGTACATAAACAATATATTTTTTATTTTGGGGAGTGAACATTGTTATTAATGGTGATGTCATCAAATAAAAAACAAAGAATCTTTCCAAGTGAAATGTATTTTACCATTTCTTTGAATTTATATATTCTTCGGAATATTCCAAGCATTTAAAAGAAATATATTTCACAATATTTTACATTTATGTAACTGTGGATGTATTCTTATTTCCTTAAGTTCTGAATATCTGCAGAAATACATCTTTTGATCTGATTTAGCTGGCTTAGTAAGTTAAGAAATAAATTTTTCTTTAATATTTTGGAATTATTAACAAATGAATTTATACTAATTCAGAAGTCAAACAACAAAAATCAGCGTTATGTTTACAAAATTTTCACAGGACTAGTTTCGATGGTTTTACTGAACCACCATCCTCAGCTGCAAAACCGCAAACGAACAAGATAGGAAATAATGATTAGATAAGATAAGCAAGCCTGGATAAGCAAGTGGCGCCATCTATTGGTGAAACCAGAACTAAAACATAATTCCTTTAAAGGACGAAGGCAAAGTTAGATTGGAATTAGGATTGTTAACTAGAACAGAAAGATTTTTATGAATGTGAAATGCCTCTAGAAAATCCAGTTCGCCAATGGAAGATGCTTTTTGGATAATTTTGGCAGCAGAAAAATTGAAAGTGTGATTTTTCGGACCCCAATGTTGAGCAACAGAAGACTTCCCGTGTTTCCTTTTTTCTAACATATGCCTCATGTTCTTTGACGCGAAATTTTAAGGCTCTCTTAGTTTGGCCAATGTAAATTAAACCGCACTGGCAAGGAATCCTATAAATACCCCAGGAATTCATATCCGGAATGGGGTCCTTGAGTATGGAAACCGGAATTTTATTGATGGGAGAATAAACAACCATAAAATTAAATTTCTGCAAAATATGTGCAAATTTATAGCTAATTGATGGAAAGAAGGGAATGACAACAGAATTTTTATAATCTCCTAAAACAAGAGTGTGCCTTTTAGTGTGTTGAGATGAGAATTTTTTTAAATGCTTGATTAATAATGTTGGGCGAAAAGCCCCCGTCAATGGCTATTGCTTTTAAATAATTTAGTTCTTCATCAAGAGCTAGTTTGGAGGAGCAAACTTGAAGAGCACGGAAAACATAGGAATAAAATGAAGCTAACTTTTGTTTAGTCGGATGACATGATTTAAAGTGTGATGGAAGGTAAACCGTAGTACTGAAGTTGGATGTATTACGTGTGACCAGAATGTCGAGAAACGGAAGAGAATTACAAGTCTCAAGTTCAAAAGTAAACTGAATAGCAGGATCAACAGAATTCATTGTTGAAAGAACTTTATTTAAATCATCTTTATTACTTTCAAACAGGGTAAAAGTATCGTCTACGTAGCGGAAACATGCCGGGAAGTTTAAAGTTTCAAACAATTGTGATTCATAGTAATGCATGTAGATATCAGCCAGGATGGAACTGAGGAGGCTTCCCATGTCTAATCCCTCAGTTTGCTTGTAATATTTATTTTGGAAAACAAATTGTGTTTGTTTCAAACAGAGTTGAGTGAGAGTAATTAGCTCATCAATTTTGATGCAAGAGAAATGAAATTCGCGAAGTCTGGTTTCTAGACATCTTAATGCACCCTCCACTGGGATATTGGTGAATAATGATTTTACATCAAAAGAAACCATGAGTAAATTACTAGGAGAAAAGTTTATAACCTTTTTTACAAATTCTGTTGAAATTTTATGGTGTAAATGTTATTGTCTAATAGAGTTGAAAATCTAGAAACTAAATATTCAGCTAATGGATACGAGGCAGTACCTAAATTTGATACAATACGGCGGAAAGGAATACCACTTTTATGAATTTTCGGAAGACCATATATTCTGGCACAATTCGCAACAGATGGGATAAGCGATTGTTTTAAGTTGCTTAAAATGATTTGCGAAGTTTTGATCGCAGTTTTATTTTTAACAAGTCCAAAGGTGAAGGATCTTTAGGAATTGAATTATACGGTCCTCCTTCGTTTAAGAGTTTAGTGACACCATCGATGTAAGTGTTCTTATCCATGATAACTATCTGGCCACCTTTGTCGGCCTTTGAAATGATAATATCTGAGTTAGAATGAATTTCGTGCATTGTAGCTCTTTCTCTCGCAGTTAGATTTGGTTCCAAAGGTTTATTATTGAATTTCACATTATGAGCGATAAGATGCCTAATCATTTCTGAGAATCTGAAACTTTACTGAACTTGAAAGCTTTTTCGATAGGAGCCAAAATCTTTGGAATCGAGGGTTTACAGGTTTGTGAGAAGTTAAAATTATATTTTAGAATTCTCTCTTGTTCTTATGAAA